GGGGGCGTCGGTCCGGAGGCGCTGGCCGCCCGCCCGCCCGCCCGGCGCGGCCCGGCCTGGGGCGGGACGGCGGCTCTCAGTTCGCCGTCGAACGTGAGCGTGGTCGCGGCGTTGTGGCGCAGAGCAGCACAATAGTGCCGAGTCGAACCGCGCGCGAACGCCTTGCCCGCCGCCCCGCCCGCACCGCCCGCCGCGAGTGACACCGGCCAACACATTAAAGTGGATAACCTCCTCGTCCGGACCGGGACTCGCAGCTTCCGCGCCCAGGTGAGCCTCAGAGGACGACGGCGCGCAGGGAAGGCCCGCGACGCCAGCAGCCGCCGCCGCCATCGGAAGAAAGGAAGGAAACGCCGAAAATGTTGTGGAGGGGAGACGTGTTGAGGACACCCGCGGACATCCGGATGGTCAGTGGCGCCTCGCCCACGCACTGCCCACACGCGTCCTGCGCGTCCTGCAGCGCCGCGTCCAGCCACACGAGCGCCCCAGTGTTTATTTTCTTTTCGAAGGACCGGGGTGGGGGGGGGGGGGGGTTGCGGGGACGGGACGTGACATAACAACAGTGCTGCTCCTGCGTCGAGTAGCCGGCTGCGGGTCCGTGCTATAAGTCTCTCTGTCTCTCTCGGTCTCTCCCCACCTCTCCTCTGTCTCCCCCCTTTCTCTCTCCTCTCTCTCGTTCCTCCGCTCCGGACTGTCGTGGTCCGTGGCCCCCTGTGAGTTAGGCAGCCCGTAAGCACCCGTGTAGCCAGCTATGGGCGGGGTTGCCTATCTCGCAGTCTGGAACAGGTCAGAATGCCATGCCAGTTAAGGCCTGAAGCTGCTGGCAGGGACAGAGTGGGTGGTCAGCTGGGTCCGGGTAGGAATTGCTGAGAATTTGCCTCGGCCTACATACCGGGGCCAAGGGCCAAAAAGGGTCCCTATTGATACGTTTTTTGGAGGGGGAAGGGGGGGTGGGCGGTGCTGCTTTGAGATTATCCTACCTCCTACCTTTCCACCCCGTCCAGTCCGCCCCCAGCTGCTGGATGATGAGCAGCGGCTGTACAGCTCGCGGCGGCGGCACGACCCTCACTCGAGCGTGCGGCCAATCGGTAAAGGAAAGGGCGCGACATTTCACATACCCCTTTCCCGCAACCTCCACCGAGCACGAGCGCCCCATCTGCCTCATCAACAGCATCTGCCCCAGAGTACAGCTGCGCAGATGCGACGTACTCACGCACACACACGCACACACACACACACACAGTGTTAAGTAACAGCCCCCGCCGGCCCCTGGCTGTCTGGCTCGGCCGCGCGCGCGGCGGCGATACCGGTCTGCAGAGCGAGGTGCCCGCCCGCAGCCTCAGCGCCCCCCGTTGAGGAATGGGGGGGAGGCGGCGGGGGGGGGGGGCGCTCCTGATAGTTCGACTCCCACCACCCATGCATGCAGCGGGCAAAGGCATGGAGAACGGGCCGCGTTACGGGGCAGGGAGCGGCGCGCGCGTCTAGCTTCCAGCAGGGCGAGCGCGGTGAGGTGAGGGGTGAGGATGTCGAGGACCCCGTCCTGCCCGTCCCGGTCCTACCCCCTGGTAGCTGAGGCTGGCGGTTAGGGTGTCCTCGTCTTACGCCCTGCTAGTGGCTGTGGCTGGTGGTTAAATAGTGTCCTCATTCTACCCTGTGGTGGCCGTCGTGGTTGTGGTTAGAGTATCTCCCGGTGTCTCCCGTCCTATTTCCCCTGGTGGCTGTGGATAGTCGAACAAGATTATGTCAATGCGTCTGCTCTTATCAAAAGTGGATGGTGTAGGGGTCTAGGCAAGCATACTTTAGTGCATGTCTTATTCATTGTGACCTTTTTACTGGACTAGATAAGGTCTACAAGAGATGCTCTTTCATACGATGGAGATGGAAGCGTCGTAATTTCTATAAGCATCGCTTTTGTAGTAACACAGCATCGTTTTTGTACTAACAAAGCATAGCTTCACCATTTCAAAGCTCTGCTTCGTAGGCTACGATACTTCTGTTTTCTGTGTAGGTCACGAAGCAATGCTTTGTAAACTCTTAAGCCACTATTCCGTTCCACACAGAAAAAATGAATTGGTCGTCAGAACTAAATATTAGTTAATTTCGTAACAATCGATCAAATATTGTTGAGGTAACTTGTTGTGTATCTAAGTTGGCACCACTCAGTGTTCGTCACTTGTTATTGTCTTGATATACACCTGCCGGTCTGCGAATAAACCAGTCTTCAAAGTTAACCACTCGTGGACCATCTCTTACCCTTCCACCCTCGAGTACACCAGTACACCACATAACTAATAATTTGTTGTCAGAACGAAGATGAAAGTTGCCAGAACAAGCTGTTCGGTGCTTGAGCTAACGCATTCGTTCTAAACGCAAAACCACAAATTGACCTCCTGCAGCGCCGTGCTTTGTTTTATCAACCAACTCTTGGCTCTGACAACTGAATATTCGTTAACTACAGCTAACATTTATCGATCGTCCCGACTAATTATTAAACTAATTAACTATAGTTAATTACAATTATTAGTTCTGATGACCAATGCCTTTTTTTTTGTTCGTGCAACTCTGACTGCCTGAGTAAGTAACACAGTATGCCCATATGGCCCGGGGCCCAGCAGGCTGGACAGAAGAAAAGAGAGCGGTGCTGTGATCGGTCCACGAGCAAGGTGGCATAGTTAAAGGCGATGGTACTGGAGGCTGCCTCGGCTGCCGCTGCTGCCGCGGTCCAGGCCGGTGGACGCCTCGAGCGGCCTCTCTCTAGCAGAGGAGACCTCGCTACCCGCGGCTGCACGCGCCGCCGCCGGCTCGGTCCACACGCAGCCGCCTGCCAGGACCTCTGTTGTTAATTCCGATGGATTCTTGCTTCTATAATTGATCAGCACGCGCTGCCCAGCGTAGTATAAATAATGCTTCACGGTCGGGGGTAGGAGGGGGAGGGGGGCAAGAACCAACAGCACTACTAGTAGGCTGGCGTGAGAAATAAATACTTGCACAACGTGTGAGTTCGCCGGGGTGGGTAGCGCTTTAGTGTTTGTACGCAGTGCGTCAACGCTGCTAGATGTGCTAAATGAATGAATTCGTAAGCATTCTTTTCCTCATAAACCTTTGATGTGAGAACAGCTGGCCACTAGTGGCAACATGAGGAAGGTCATTACGGGCACGTTCACCTGTTAGAAGCGCCGCTAAACTGTAAACTGCCTCATACCGCATGTGGAGAGAATAGGAAAAAGGAACTACTTCAAAAGTTTCCTGTTCATTTCCAGTGAACGAAACACAACCTCTTGAAAGGATGTGCGGATATGGTAAATTAATTGATTTAATGCTACTTATTGCAAAGTGATGCTTTGTGTCAGGCGTTTTGCTCATGATGCCATATCGCTTGTAGTGTCAGGAAACGTTTTTGAATCCGAATGCGAACAAATATAGTTGATTGCCCAATCAACCCAAGAAAGACATTTTAGAAGTGGTTTCGATTCGACATGCGGAACTGTGTATAGCAAGCGGCTCGCCGAATTGAACGCCTCGGAGTCCAACAATTGCACTATGATATTGTAGCTTGCATTAATTTCATCAAAGAAAGCAAAATTTCGGCTCTTGCTCTTCTCAAAAAGGGGGCAAGTTTAATAATTTTCCCTAAATAGAGTTTTTCGAACGAACTGACATTTTCCAAGTATGCGCCACACAAAAGTTCCAAAATTATCATTTAAAAAGAGGTCCACTCGGGGCGGGTGCCATGTGCTGGAGGAAGGGAGAGAAGCAAAGTGGTGGGAGCAGGGCCAGGAGCAAAGCGGGGAGCAGGGCGAGGGGCAGGGCGAGGGGAAGGGCGCGGAGCAGGGGTGGCGAAACAGCTGGAGCTGGCCGCGGTGCGCTTAAGATTCCTGAGCTCAATTATCATGATATTGCGCTGCTAAAAAGCGGCCGCACCGACGACGGTACGCCCGTCCCGTCCGTAATGATGTAAGGACTCACCGCAAAGCGCGCGCACCACCCACCGCGTGCATGCCATCACGTTTACATTAATTATTCTCTTTTCTCTCCTCCAGGGCTGAACCAACTTTGCGTTCGACATGTCACGCTGAGGCCTCCGCTCACAACACCCCGACACGATGGCGACCTTGCCGACGAGCGCCGTGGCGCCGGACATCGCCATCAGCATCCGCAACGCGTACAAGGAGTACGGCGGAGGATGGGGGCTCAACGGCAAGCAGGCGCCCGTCAAGATCCTCAAGGGGCTCAACATGACGGTGGCCAGCGGGACCATGTGAGTACCCCAAGCTTCTAACTTTGAGTTAGACATTACAGGATTTTTTTCACCCAGAGAAATGATTAGCAATGAAAACCATCTCAATGGTCGGCGTGCTCGCTGAGCCAACCATATGATGGTTGCCATTGCTGATCATTTCTCTGGGTGTTCTCGTATTCTGGAGAAGTGAACGAATTCAATCAATCGCTGCCCCCGCCCCCCCCCCTTGACTTTTCTAAGTGCAGATATGTTATGCACTTTGCTGTGGCATAACTTTGGCTCCGTAGTTGTAAGGAGCGAACTTAAAGCGCTCTTTTGTTGCAATTGCAGAACTAAAAAGGGCGTCACTAAAACGGCACAACTCCGTGTCATGCAGTAGAGTACCTCGCTGCAGTTCTTGTTGACAAACTTTTTTTGTTCTGTACAATGCACTGTAAACCAACTGTATCTATAGTACACTTTTCCTGGGGTGTGCTTTCAAGTGCACACAAGGAAGAGTGTACTACACAGTTGGGTTTACAGTGTAGTTGCAACTGCAGAAAGGGTTTGTCCGCTACTGCATAACAAAAGTTTTCCACTTTCAACTGCATAACAGTTCTACACGTAGATTAGCAAAGCACGCATAGGACTCGTTAAGGATCTTCCAGAAAGTGCATCCATTTTTCTCAGATTCATTCGGCAAAATACGGAAGCTCAGCGCCTGCGAGACGCAGGGTAGACCACCCCGCAGTACACGCATGCACTGAATGCAAGATGTTGCCTACCTACCAGGCGCTACGAGAGCATGCATCTGCTCAAGGCAGTGTCGTAAAGGCGAATTACGGGCGTAATTTCTGGACGATCCCTAAAATGGCAAATCTATTTAACCGAAAGGCTGACCTGCTTGTTTGTTGTTGCCTTATTTCCACAAAAATAACTACTTAACATAGAACGTCAATTTAATATATTACACTCTACGAAATTCTGGTTTTTCTCTAGCTTCATCTGATTTGGAGGGCTGAGGTCCGGTCTGGAATCTGCCGCGGACAGAGACGTCTTAACTATGCGTGGGCTCACACAATAAAAACACGGAATGCTCATGCGGAATAGATTAGAAACTCGTTCGCGGCCGCGTGACGCGGGAAACACGTGTGCGGCTGTTTTCCGCGTAGTTCAATGAGCTGACTTGAGATAGCGATTTGGGCGGCGGTTTCAGCGATGTTACGCCTGATCCGTGCAAAGGAAAGGACCGGGTGGAGGCGGGGTGAAGGGGGAGGGGAGGGGGCTGTCGAGGAAAGGCCAAGGTCAGGGCAAACGCTTTATGAATCGTGTGTCTCTCCCCGTTGTTAGTCGACACGTAAATGTGCTGGGTATATTTTATCGGCGTGTTTTGCGACGGCGATGTGCTTGGACGGTGCGCTGCGTTTAAATCTCCTAGACGATCCTAGCGGTGCCGGTCCCCCTGCGGGATAGACATGTAGACACGCAGACGCATGGGGCCGTACGGCACGGTTCACGGAGAAGGGGGGGGGGGGGCTGCCAAACTGCTGGCGGTTTCAGTGGATGTTTCAACCGGTTTCAACAAAGGACATGCAAATCGGAACGGAGTGGAGCGTGTTCAGTACGCTTCTTGTCACGCCCCGCGTCGCGTGTGGTTGTGACGTTATTTCCACAGCCCTGCCCTGCTCAAGTAGCGCTCACCGCGCAGTGAAGTTGACCCGTTCTGGACATGGTTGACCCCTCCCCCGGGCCTCCGCGCCCAACCAGTGTCAGGGCCGGCGGGGCACTGGGCCGCCCCCTCCAGGGGGCACTTGGTCGCACCTGCCAATACAGACCCAGGTGCCACGGGCTCAATGGGCGGCCCATCCCCCCGGCGGCCTGCCCAGGCCGTGTTTGCCAACCACTAAATGCCCCTCTGCGTCGTGTCCCGAGCGGGGCCCAGGGTCGGCACACACGACGTTCCAGCCCCGGGTGGTGACCACTCACTTTAATACCGTTAAGTTCGCCACAGGTCGACAATCTTATCAGTAACAACCTAGGAAGCAGTGCTTCACACTCTTGATATAGCATGTGCAATGTACAACAGGAGATACAGTTTGAGAGAACGCGCCCCGGCACTCCAGCGTGGCCACATTGAACGCCGGATTGAATGCGTGCTCGAGGGCGGCCTATACCACCCAGCGGAAAGAGACGAAATAAAGTCTCTAAACCATATTTTTCCACTTCCGGCCTTGTTCACGAATCTTTTGTTATCCAGGCCGAGGTATTGTTTTTCCGAACTTTTTTCAGTTCGAGCTGCTGTCAAACTTTTGTTTTCGTTTCATACCACATTCAAGAGGCAAACTTTTGTTTCAACGGTGGTTGTCCTAGTTGTTCCCCATTCATTTTCGAATATGTGTTCTTCAGTGTTTTCTTACGACCGCTCTGTCTCCTTTGTGTTCTCTCTTGCTTGCACTTACTCTGCCCCCCCCCCCTCCCCCTCTCTCACTCTCCGAGTCTCATTAGAGTCTAGCGAGTGCCGTCGCCCCTCCGCACCACGTGCACGTCCAGGAGGAGAGGGGGCCCCCCAGCCACACAGGTCGAAGCCCCCAATGAAATCGCAAGCGGTTTCCATAAGTGGGTCAGACATGACCTCACCTTGCAGCGCGGCGGCCGCTGCGGCCCGGCCCGGCCCGGCCCGCCCGACTGCAGCGCAGCGCCTGTGATTGATATGTTGTTGAAGCGGGCGGCCAGCGCGGCGCGCTGTGCAAGAAGCGTGCAGCTGACAGGCGATCTCAAACGTGCAAACGCAGACAGTTATTAACACTCCTCCAAGTGAGCTACTCGAACCACTGGGTGCAAAACAAAAAGAAAAGAAAAAGTTACCGGGCAAATAAACGCGAGAGTTTAAAATTGAACCGCTTGAACCCCCCACCCCATAATTTAAAGAAACACATCATCAGGTTACAGAGTTAATTGTAATTTTTAAAGCGCAGAGTGTAGACTTGAACGCTTTTCTTGACAGCGTCCCCTCCTCGCCAGACACGCGATGGAGCGCGTCCGATGACCAGCGCGCGGGTCGCGAGGGTCGCATTGCAAGCAGGCATTGTACTACAGCGTGCTCCTCGCCGAGCTGCTCGCCTCACCGCAGCGCAGGGGTGGAGGGGCAGGGGAAGGGGAATCACTTTCTACGGCGCAGGGCGTGGCGGGGCGGGACGGGCTGGGCGGGCTGGGCGGGGCCCTTCAAGGCCAGCGAGCGCACTGCGGGCACTGCAGCTCTAGCCGACCGACCTGCAGCTTCGCGCTGCTTCGCACGGCCCCCGCCCCGGGCCGTCGGCAGGTCCTTCCCTTACGGCCGGGCCGCACGCTAGAAGCTAGAGCCGGCGATGCGTCGCCCCGGCGCGGCGGCCTGGCCAGGGGGTAATTAAGGATCTCTAGAGTGACGAAACACAACGTAAGAACGGCCGTGACAGAGATCACTCCATTGCGGACCTGGTGGCACTGTAGGAGGCTCTGCTTCACATGCTCTCAGGAGGTGGTACTTATTGGCACTTCACTTGCGGCCGAGCCCTCGGAGTGACCGGCGATATGCTGCATATCGGCTTTAGATGAAAAATCTAAATCAAGAATCTATCTTGAAAGCAGATGATACAAATTTAAGAATAGGTCTGTCTTCAACTTTTCTCTGATATTCAGGTGTCATTTGATTATGGCTGCTTGTTATTACTCGCAAATTTTTAATTCGGCGTACTTGTGGCGTTGGTGAGATACGGACGGGGCAGAGCATAGCGGCCGGCGTCGGTGGCCTAGTATTGTTGTACAGGGACGCGGGGCCTGCTCCTGCTCCCGCCCCCCGCCCTGCCTGACGCTGTATTGTTGGGTAGGGGAAGGGGCCTGAAGCGACGCTCGGACAGCCAGCCACTCACTGATTCCCCTAGCGCCAAATAAATTGTTTTCTGGTCTCCGCTTGGTTCTCTGTCATTATCGAGAGTAAAAGCAAGCTGACACCTTAAAGTTACTTATATATTCTTTATGTTTAGTCAAAAGGTGTTTAAGGTATCATCTGCTAAAAAAAATAAAACGCAGCCCGCTGCCGCTGCGCTGCGGGTCCTGGCAGCCCTCTGGAGCCTTCTGGAGCCCGAGCCGGGGCTGCTGGAGAGCGGAGCGTATTTTGCAACAACCCGCAGCAGCAGTGCAGCCGGCCTGCCCAGGCCTGCCCAGGCCAGCCCAGCCAAGCATTTTCGTGAGGCGCTTGGCAAGCGTCCTGCACACGGCCTCAGCCTGGCTGGAGGAATGGAGGGGGGGGGGTCAGCAAGCGCGTTCTGTTTCTCTTTAACCGTTTAGTGGGGTTTGATGGAGGCACAACAACTCAAAACTGTGTGGCGAATATCTCTCTAACCTCCAGCACCTCCAGACGTGTCATGTCAGAGCGTCCGCGAGACGACTCGGGACCGACTCCGACCTGTAATCTCTCCCAGACGGCCCACTGATCTCCTTTCTGTTGCAGCTACGGCCTGCTGGGCTCCAGCGGCTGCGGCAAGTCCACCATCCTCAAGGCCATCGTCGGCCAGCACCGCTTCACGTCGGGGGACCTGCGCGTCCTCGGCAGCGTGCCGGGCTCGGACGGCGCCGAGATCCCCGGCCCCGCCATCGGCTACATGCCACAGGTGAGAGGGGGCAGGTGACACTCGGGCGGCCTGCTCTCCGCTTGTTTTCTTTTTGACGTGCAGAGAAGGAATGGCTGGCATTGTGAAGCCGTGGATCTGATACCACGCGGGGCGGACCATTCACTGGGCTCGTCGTGGTGACGCATCGCAACCCAGCCGGCCACCGGGCCGTGTTCCTTTGCTGTGCACTCGCGAGCGTCCCGGGAGAAGTCGTTTGAACACCCTCCAACTGGACGAAGCCTCCCCGATGACCTCTGAGTGCGACCAGTCCTCAACGCCCTCCCAGAGGTGCCTTGGCCCAGTGGACTGTTAGCTAAGGCATTGTCATGCGCGGCGAGTAGCAGCCCCCGCCGCCCCCCC